TTATCGTTTTACGCTTTCAATCGCTAGACGAGCTTGACCAAGGAACCTCTTAAAAACTTTTTACTAGATATAGTTATAATGGAATAAGATTTCAAAATTCCGCTGATAGAATGAAATGCAATAGATTCAATTTGTCAATTTTTAATGACCAATTATATTTAAAAAAAGGAAGTGTATATAGATGGGAATTATCTGGTAGGCTTAATAAATAATGACCTAAGATGGACGTCCACTGGACGTCAAAATACTACTAAACTTAAAATTAAGTCCAAAAACAGACGTTCTCTGGGTATCTATATTCAGCTGTCAAATTAATTAGCATAAACGGACGTACACTAAATGCTCGGATATGGACGTCCTGACCCTCAATTGGATCTAAATTGTACGTCCATTGGACTATGGGTGCTGTCTGGGCATAGACGACTTTTTAGAAATAGTAACCTTTTAAGTATGTACCAATATTTCCAAAATCGGTTCCAGTATGATTCATTCAATAAATATATATACGAATGGGCAAAACATCTTTATGTTGACATAATTGTAACTTACAATTTAGCCATAGTAAAGGGATTTCGCCCACTTTGACCAATCCTAATTTAAACACGCGGATTTATTATATTTTTTTGAATATAATTTTAAAATAAAATAAACAAAATCTGCAGTTCATTGTTTATTAAATTTATTTAAAAGAAGACAAACATATATTTCAGAAAATCCAACACCTACGTATGAAAAATAAAATGTCAAAAATGATTAAATCATTATACTTAATATTTATGCATGTGATAAAATTCTCAGTTTTCTAATAACTTTTTTGGCACATTTTATATCTGTATTAGAATACCTTAGTGTGTAAAAAATCTTCATCTTATTACTACACAAAACAAACACCAAAAAATATCACTTAACATTGCTCACGTACTAAACACAACTTGGACTGACTTTGGCAGATAACAACATTTTGAAGTGATACACAACCTATTTTCGCACATGCGCGTTACAAAACGGTACACTGAAAACATGAAGCTGTCGCTTCTCCTTGATCGGTATTCTTGGTTGAAACCATGATTTGCAGAGATTAGGGACATAAAGATTGGAAACGCAACGACCGCATCAACAATGGCGTCATCTAGCGTCTCAGATGTTAACTACAGGTATACGTCGTTTGTAGAGAGACCAGTGATGCCAAATATTTTTTTTGAGAGATCGTACAAGTAGAGTAGAAAAATGGTATTTCGACAAAAAAATTGTACAATAGATACATGTATAGCATAATATAACTTAAATGGAATGAAAAATTAAAAAAAAAATTCTTTGGCATGATAATTTATTTATCTATTTATAGAAAAAAGAAACTAAAGAAAATATATGAAACTTTAAATAAACACATTTAAAGTAATCAGACTGTCACTTGAAACCGATTAAAATTTTGCATGCAAGCTTTTCTTATGCTGTGATAGTCGGTGTACAAAATCACCATGTTCAAAATCACGATAAGTCAGAACGAAAATGACTGCCTTCAGAAATTACGAACGGCCTATGAATCTTTGCAAGTAGTTTTTGGTTTTTGTTTTATGTTCTCAAGTTGTTGCAGATATTTAAATAAACCTACTAAAAAAGTGATGATCATATTTTTACGTACGATCTCACTGATGCAATCGTACATCGTACAGAGATTTAAAAAATCGTATAAATACTATTTAAATCGTACGGTTGGCAACACTGAGACAGACAGTAGACGTGGACAGCAGTGGACAGTTTGTAAATATAAATGTCAGTTAGTTTTATGTATATCGAAGAATCCTGCATTTAAATTTTAAATTTGGAGTTCATGATTGTGTTATCGTCTAGATAAACTAAGCGAAATAGTTGTGGCTGTCTTTGTGTAAAATTTGAGGACAATAATTATATTTTGTCATATTACAATAGGTCTAAGAACGTAACACATGCCACATGAACAAATTTAACAACCCCAATGTGGCGTTCTTTAATTAACCAAAGTAGGTAAGATCTATTCATGTATGTAACACAAATAGTAATCAACTTTTGTCACAAAGTAGGTATTTATGTATTATTTATTGTTTTAGAACAAGAAAATGGCTTCAAGACGTTAGAAAGAAGATTTGATATAGGAAGAAAAATATCTAAATTCCCATTATTGACTTTGCACTCAACATTTTTAAATAAGATACCATTGGCCATTCGTTTGGAAAATAAAAACAAAAATGCAATGTTACAAATAATCAAAAATTAAAAAATATTTGTCATAAATATAGATTTACAATAATTAATCGATAATAGATTGTAAGTGTAGTATTCTTTTTAATAAATGATTTAGCGGAATTACATTGTTTAAGTTTATTTACAAGAACATGAGAGTGCAGTCGATATTTATACAACCTTTATTATCAGGTTTTTAAATTTCCCGCTGCGTTGTTTGATATCGATGAAAGTGCCACATAGTGGGTCAGATGTTAACTGCGATAAAGCTGGTCGTTAAGCATTGGCTTCTTAAGGTACAGTTACATCTGACATTTATTGCATGATATTTATGTCTGATAGTTATTCAGTCCAGTGTAAACACACAAAAATTTCTCTCGGACATATATTTTTGAGTGTTTACACTGGAATAAACAACTGTCAGACATAAATATCATGAACTGTACCTTTATGAGCGTTTCCTATCTTTATCTCCCTTATCTCTGATGATTTGGTTTCAAAGAATTGGCACTCGTGCTCTGCACACAAAATTTCCAGAAACCTATCTTTACAATTATTGATGGTGGAAAGAGTGAGAGTTCGGAGAGGAGTATCATTTGACATTGGCATCACCAGTATTTCTTGTAATTGTGATTAATATTGTAAATAATTATTGTTTAATTGTCTGTATTTACGACTTTTGGGAGTGTTCTGGATACTAGATGAATAAATAGTATTATGTAAATTATTATTTATTGTATTGTGTTTGGTCTTGTTCAGTTGTTTTTAATTTTAAATTTTTTTAATTGATCTTGTTGATGACTGTAAACTTATTTAAAATTTTTGTAATGTTTATTATATTTTTAAGGCCTAAGTACCACGTCATTTATATCATTTGTTTCAAATTTATAAAATATGAGAGCTTTTTGGTAGTTTCCATCTGGCATCATATAATTTTTGGACCAGGAAATAATCAGTTTATTTGACAAGATATAATATTATCTCTTGTCTTCATTACAATATTTTAGAGTATAAACTCAAATGACATATATGCCAAACTCCCGTAAAAACCATCACTTCAAACCTTAGACTAGGTAGTCTAAGCTTCAAACAGCACTACCATGTTTTTTTATTTATTCTATAAAAAAAAATAGTACAAACACATTTCATTTTTATATTGACTTAATTTAGATTGTTACTTATATTGTTTTTTTTTATTTGTTCTAGTGCAAACTTTCTTCAAGTCGTTTGTGGCAGCAGTATTGCATCGTTGAAGAAAAAACGGCCAAGTCAGGAAAGTAACTGTTACTGCCCTCTTTTTACTCATGCCTCACTTTTCCTGCTTTTTATATTGATTTAATTAGGATCGTTACTTATACTGTTTTTTTATTTGTTCTAGTACAAACTTTCTTCAAGTCATTTGGAGTTGCAGTAGTGCATCGTTAAAAACAAAACAACCTAGTCAGGGAAGTAATAGTTACTATACCTTTTTTATTCATGCCTCACTTTCTCTGCATTTAATTTTTATATTGATTTAATTCAGATTGTTACTGTTACTATTTTTTTATTTGTTCTAGTACAAACTTTCTTCAAGCCGACTGGAGTGGCAGTATTGCATTGTGAAAAACAAAACAGCCTGGTCAGGGAAGTAATAGTTACTGTACCTTTTTTTATTCATGCCTCACATTTCTGTGCTCCCTAACAGATTTAAGAGGTGCGGGGAAAATGTTTAGAAAAGCAAATTTAGACTAATAAATACAAACTATTGATACATTGAGGTAATTTATTACAAAAAGATCTTACTTTGTGTATATGCTGAATGATTATATTGTAGTTTATCATTAAACTAAACAGGTGTGATTGTTTAACCTAAATACTGAACGTGTCGAACAAACGGTAGAAAAGGTGCTAAGTTTTTGTACATAATTTAAAATGCACTGTTTCACATTTGCTAATTTGGAAACATGGAAACAGAGGTATTTTACAAAATATGGCGGTACCAGTTCAATTTTGACAAAAATGTGACCCTTTTTTCTTTCTGTCCCCTTCATTTGCTTTATAACTTTGTTATTATAGATTTTTTGTTCCAGATAAAACTCTTCAATCGTTAAGAGCAACAATAGTAGGTATATTGTGGAAAATAATTTATTTAATAAATTAATATTATTGATCATGTTTTTTAATTTTTTGTATACCTATTAATAAAATATATAAATTTGTAGTCAAACTAGGATTGGTTCATACTACTCATTTAATTTGTATTGCTACAATAACGGAAAAAGTGTTCAAAAGGGCCTGTAGAAGGTTTCTCGATGGAATTATATGTTTTTTTGGGTGCTGAATACGAATCTGAAGTTTGCTGCCTCGTAGCCGTGCCACTTCCAAGTCAAAAAACGCAAAAATCCTCTAAATTTTCGGAAAATGTCATTCTATTCAAAGTTGAAAAGCATAAAATTCTGCGTCGAAAAACTTTCCTTACTTTTACATTATAAGGTCGCCATCGTCAGTCGAAAATAGCCAATTTTTAGCAACTTTTGTGAAAACTGCAAGAAACTCACTTTTAGATGTCTGGGATGTGAAAAACTCGTAGAACAAAAGGGGTAGAGCATCATGTTTTGCATTCAGTGAGCATCGAAATTTTAAATTTGGATTAGTATATACACTTATACTGATAATTTCTTTATTTTTCCTCTTAACGCTTATTTGACTAATATGAAGGAGTTTCGCACACTTTTGTGTACATTGCAATAAACTCACAAAATCCATGGAGTGGTTGAGGAAAAATACAATTCAGCGACATAATGATACCGATGGTGTCTCAAAAAAAGTTTCTGTGTAATGCCGAAAACAAAAGTCGCTTAATCACCATGCTAATGGCAAAGGGTGAAGAAGCTGGAATTGCCTGCAGACAAGCAAACGAGGATGCGGAATGCGATTGTGGGGCAAGATGTGGATCTGCTGGTGATAATGATGGGTCTCAATACTTCTCCAAACGTCTATCTGCTGAATCCAGGGAAAGGAAAAGTGCCTCAGTTGCTGTACCAACCACAGTCTGTAGTAAAACAAAATCTTGCCAAGAACATAATGCTTTTGCACGCGATGAGTGCATGCGACTCGACGACATCTTTGTATAACCAAGGCAAGACTAACTTCTTGAAGTCTCTAAATATCCAGACCTTGAAGAGACCGTTGAGAAATTCTTGGATCGGTCAGCCCAGCCAACGGCAATTGCTGCTGCTGCTGGATAAAAAATTTTTATGATCCTGTACGGGGCTAACCATCTAACAACTTCCTTGAACGCACTGCGATACAAACAGTACGTGACATCTGCCTTCAAGTTTTCAAGCAACATTGCATCCATCCCTCTCACCAATGCTGCAGCCTACCAGCATAGCTTGCGTGTATATTTACAAGTGCAGCAGTGGCTCGGCAATAGTTTGGATCCGAAGCTGTGGCGTTGGAAGTCAATCAAAAATGGTCTGATCCCACTTACCACCCTGAAACCCCCAGCTCCTAAAAACTAATGCAGCAAATATCATGTAAATGCCGCACTGACTGTGGTAGGAGTTGTGGATTCAGGCTCGCAGGTCTGTTCTGCACCCAAGTCTGCATCAACTGTGCCGATTCCTGCACCAACGTGGACGAAAAAAACGACCTCGATGAGCAAGAATACGACCCTCCGTTTGCTGCACCATTGTTAGAGGCAGGTAAGACTTCAGAAGGTAATTTATGCGTTATTTTACGACATACAAACTCAATGAATTTGCTTTCAGTTGAAGAACCGCCATCCCAGCTTGCCACTCCGAGTGCTGAAGAGCCTGAGCCTGGACCATCATCGTCCATTGAAAACCCTGCGTCCGGACCTTCCACAGTCCCAGCTAAATGAAGGAGAAACAAATAAAATGGACATTGCTATTAGGTATTCTTTTACATAGCATCTTCACACTATACGGTTTCAAAAATCATTCAGTTCGGTACTATTTTGAAGGAGTGAAAATAGTCGAACGCATCTTTAAAATATTTTAATTAGTTGGCACTCACTGGAATCTTCGACTCCCGTTGGACATGTGTTGTGCGTCTAGGCTAGGTAACAGCCAGTTATTTTTTTAATTCACTAATTATTAGGAGATATCATATAGTAATAAAATATGGTATTATAGTCATTAAGAATCATTGTTGATTCACCGAGTGAGTTAGAGAATACTTCTTAAAAAAAACTTATTGTACTGATTTATTTTTAATGTGTGTTAGCTGAATGAATGGTTGAAATCTCAGAGTAAGTAAGTAGTAGTTGAAATAAGGTATGCAAAAAAAAAGAAGAACGGAAAATGAAATGACAGTTGGGTAACGGGAATTTTTGGAGGGTCTGAACGAGCGATTTCAGCGTTGAGTTTTGGCGGTGAATAGTAAAGAAAAAGAATATCTTTCTTTTTGTGGCCGTCGTTGTGCGGGATTTGCACCCCAACAAAAGTTATACCTTTCCTATGAGGAAGTGTAGCAGTCAGTGGCAGTCAGTTTGGAATTTGGTAAGGAGAACCGAAGCCGTCTGCTGATAGTTTTGGCCACGGAGGCGCAACCGGCGCCGTCTTCTCATAAGGACACCGAAACGCATCGTAGGAGCACCATAACACCGAATTAATTGCTGTATTGTGGAATTCTCTGGCCAAGAAACCGGGCCTACACGTGGCCCCAGAAACTTTGAAAGGCTAACCAGCCACTGGAGGGAGGAGGAAGGCACCCGACGATCAGCCCTCTTAGCGAGGTACCATGGGACCAGTTGTGCAACGATCCGGAACTCTAAGGTCACACTTTTATTTAATTTATTTTATTCAATCAAAGAAAAAGTCGATTGTCTACGGTATTGAAGCCATGTACCTATTATCCATTTTGTTGGTGATAAGTGGATTTAGTAAATGGGCGATCCCATCCTCTAGCTTAACGGGCCTTTTATTGGGATGGTTATTTTTATTTTAATTAATATATTCTTTTGTATGGCAACATAGGCATCTGTAAACTTTCGGCAGCTACCCAAAGGGGATATTCATATATATGTTGTTATAGCGGCCTATGCAATATTTCTTTTCATTAATTTGCATGTTCTGAATTTGTTTTATACTTTGTGAGTATAGCACTTTAGTTTATTGGTACTGTATACCAGAGATAAATATTAGTTTTAAAATTGTGTTTGATTTCTCTTCTCTTGGAGAAGAAATCAAATTGTTTTATTAGTTTTTTTTTGGGCCTTGTCACAGGCATCATTTGTGTAGCCACACTTTGTTTACAGCTCTTTACTTGTGAACTTTTTTTATTCTAATACTTGCTCAAAATAATGTATATTTCTACTTAGAAAAAAAAAATTAAACGTGGTCACCTTGGAGTTAGGAGTCTGTTTTTCTTGGTATTTGTTCTGTCCTACCATACCCAAGCAACCTGAAGCAGCTGGCAGGGAAACAGTGTCATCAGAGAGTGAGACATTAGTAAAAAAGAACAGGATATCGAGGTGAGCTAAATACCCTAAATAAAATTTGTTCTCTTTGCGTACTCTCTTACAAGTGTTCTAAGGGTGGGGGTACGTAGCAACTTGTTTGGTGCTTTACAACTTTTGTTTTATGAGTTTTTCACGTAGAGTGGCTGTTTTCACATCACATATCTCTAAAAGTGAGTTTCTTGCAGTTTTCACAAAAGTTGCCAAAAATTGGCTTTTTTCAACTGACGATAGCGACCTTATGAAGCGGTTCAATATGAAAGTTAGGGAAGCTTTCCGACGCAAAATTTTATGCTTTTCAACTTTGAATAGAATGACATTTTCCGTACGATACATCGTTTCCATTATATAAGCGGAAAACCAGAAAACCTCCGAAAATTTCGAGGATTTTTGCGTTTTTCGACCTGAAGCGGCACTGCTACGAGGCAGCAAACTTCAGATTCGTGTTCAGCACCCCAAAAACATATAGTTCCGTTGATAAACTTTCTACCGCTTTCATGTTACCGAAAAACTACCATTTGATCAGGCTAATATGTAAATATGGTTCAAAATGTTTCAAGTATTATTGTAGTAGCTACTTACTTTTCTTATTAATATCAACGATAATCGTTATGTTTTCTTATCAGATTTAATAAATGAAACAATAAGAAGAAAACGTGAACACAAAGGAACCCATTAACAATAATTAATTTAACATAAAATGGACAGTTAGTAGAAACATTTCCTAATTTATCGGTAATTTTCATGTTAATGTCCTTTATCTCTCCCTAATTCGAAGGAAACCATTACAATTAAGTATTAAGATGATCTTAAACAGTCATTCTCTCCTCTCTCTATATAGCTAGGACTAGAGTAGAGTAGATTTTATCTAATTTCAACTATGCGGATGCCGCAAATACTTAGTGCTCTTATTTTACGCGCGAGCACAGAGTAATGGAAGCCGCACTTTGACAAAATTGCTTGGAAACTTGGGGTTAAATACCGTAAAGTTTTGAGAAAAATTATCAACATAATTATTTAAAAATTGAGCATAAAATTCATTAAAAAAAATGGATAATTTGGAACTGTTTTAGATATGAATATGAAGGTTATCCATACCATATCTCAATTGTGGTACATCCGTAAAGAAAAGGAAAAACTCAAAGACAAATTTTTATTTAATAGGGGTGAAGTGCGACTAGTTTCGGTTAATGACCATCATCAGGCCTGTAAGAAAGATATGTTTATAAAACGTAATACAGAGTTAAATGGAAATAGTACCTAGGTACTATTATTCACATTTTATTAACATATCTTTCTTACAGTCCTGCTGATGGTCATTGACCGAAACTAGTTGCACTTCACCCCTTTCGGTTTTTCCTTTTTTAGATATAGTTTTGGGGACATTTCTAAAAAAACGAAACCAAAACAAAATGGCGACATAGATGTGCTTCAAGACTAAAAAAATCAGCAAAAATAAAAAGGATTTATGTTTTAACATGGTGGCTTCAATTTGACATTTACAGATTAAGATTTAATTTACGTAAAATAATGTATAAATTGGAAATTTTATAGTGCGAGACACACTGAGAATGCAGTGTGCAGTATTATAAAGCGCGCTGTTGCCAGCCGTCGCGTCGCTGTGCTGGAACGGCAAAAAAACAGGTCCGGTCTCAAGCAAATTTCTACCCGACTTTACATTTTATCTCCAAATTTATATGTACAATAACAAATTAAAAACAATGAATTTCAAAATTACAAATTTGAAAGTTAACAAATAAACAAATTTTACACAATAGATAAGTAATTGGAAGTCATCGTCGAAGTCTAAAATTTCACTTGTTATGGGCTTTATTCTATCTAAACCTAGACTAGTCTAAATTAGCCTAGTTTACACTATTCTAAACTATTTTAACCTATCTTATTTCTTAGCCTACCCTTTTGTAAATTATTCTAAACTTACACTAATCTAAACTAGGTTATTCTATTCTATGTCTAGCGGACGAAACGATAACTCATTAAGTAGGGTTTTATTTCACCGGACGAATCGAGCATAAAAAGGGTCAAACACCATTCTACTTTCTATCCTAACCGATCCTAAATCAGTCTAATCTATTCTATTACTATTCTACGCTTAACTATTTACACTATTCTACTTCTAATCTATTCTACGCTACCCTAAATTATTCTACACTTAACTATGTACACTATTCTACTTCTATTTGATTCTAACTTACCCTAAGCTACTCTAATTACTAAACTACCCTATTACATACCTATTCTACTATAACCTGTGTTAATTTTTTTAGTTACGTTTAGACTTAAGAGTGTGCGGTATATAAATGTATATAAATCAATAAAATTGATCCATTAAATAAATTTATAAAATATCCATTTTTATCAAACATATTTTGTAGTAAAATATAAAATAATATTTTGTAATAAAGTATAATCTCACCTGGAGTATATTCAATAATAATTAATACCTTAATAAATATTTTATAATGTAAGTAAATATATTTCGCTACTTTGAACAATAACTCTAGCTTATTTAATTACTGAAAAGCTTTATTTTTATTGTTATTGTTTACATGTCTATTTTAACTCCTTCAGTTGTCAGATTCTTCTAAATTTATAAATATTGACCACAGTCTTAACAGAAATTATCCT